CCTCTATCTTGTGCTATGGGATATTTAATGATCACGAGAGGTCAGAATTTCTATTATACATCTCAGCCAAAACTAAAGCAGCTTGTGGAAAAGTGGACTCACTATGGGTGTGCACATCCCTTATGGCTGGGTGAGGTGTGGCAGCTCTGTCTTCTCTTGTGCCTCCTGACAACGGTCACTGTCGTTCTGTATGGTCCATCTCTTCTTGTGACTCGACCCTCTAGCCAAGTGATGGTTTAGTTCCACACCCCTTTTGGGGTACTACAATCCCAGGTCCACATAAAATAATATCTAGGGTTCAGTCTCTTCATCCCTTCTTGCTCTGGGTTTCTAAGAACCATGGGTACTCAGCTGGGATCTTCAGCGTAGACCTCTCAAAGAAGATTCAGCTCAAATACTTGTAGTCCCACTTAACTTCCAGCATTTTACTGAAACTGGTCTTGGCCTTGCCATAGTGAGAACCCCTCAGCTTCTGCCATCTCAGTACTTCCTACTCTCAGTTCCATATTGAACTGTCTTTTGGGCTCGCTTCAGTGAGAATCACCATCTCCTGGAGCCTTCATCTTTTAACTGTCCATACCCAGGGTTTCTGTGCCTCTAGTGGCATTCCCTGACATCCTCACCTTTCTGGGTTTCCTTTCCAGGTCCCACACCTGCCTTCCTCTGGGCTCAGCCTAATGCCTACAAAGTTCTTTCTTGCTCTTATTTCAGAGCACAGCTTTCTAGGGTTCTTCCTGGCTCAGGCCCCTCTTAGTCTTGTTCCAAGCCTTCCAGGCATCTCAACCTTTAGCCCAAGTCCTGGCGCCCTCTCCACTGCCAAGAGTTCCTTCCCTTATAAAGACCAATCTCCACCTCAGCTGGGTTTGGTCATGAATTATGCACCCCTCCAGGTGCAACCCAATGGTCTAATTAGGCTGAGGTTCATGGTAACGCATGGTTAATCAGTATGGGGTTCATAAACCACATCACATAGACCTTCTAGTACCACTGTGCCTCCTACTCCCACGCAGTGGTATCGTTCTACTGGTTACACAGAGGAAACGCCAGTACCACTTTAGTGCTGACTCTGAGAGCCATCTACATCACTACCTGCAGCATCTTCTTTCACCACGTGTGTTGGCCAAACATTATTCATGGTTCATGAGAATCTAACAAGATCACACCACCAGGTGGTATAGCTGCAAGAAGGTCTGCTATTCTTTGGACATATTACAAAGCTCAGAGGTTTCCTAGTTGGATGAATGCTTTTTTAGTTGTTTATAACTGTTAATCAATTAATTAAATTTATTCTGGGATTTTCAATGGGGTCTAAAGGAGTTAGATGCCCAAATTCCTTAAGGGCCTTTGCAAATCCGACCCTACGTATATACAATCAGCAGATAACTTCTTGTGTCAATATCCTAATTAAATAAAGGATTTTTTTTACTCAATTATGATAATGTTACATGGTTTACAGTCCTCTCTGTCTCATTATTATGTTTCATTTATTTATGGTTGCACCCACTATGCATTAGGTGCTTTCCAAATACTCAGGGAGGAAAGTCTCTGATCCAAGGGGTTTGTAGTTTTAGGATCTAATCATTACTTTAATGTCTCTTCATTTTTCTTCATTAAGCATACAAAGAATTACAACATTTACAGAAACGTTCCAGATGAAATAAATTTTTCTTTAAAAAAAATTATAGTATAACTACAGGCCAATAAAAACTAGAATATTTTTCATTATAAAAACAATTTCTATGAAGCATTTTTACACCTCCAGAGAAAGCCATACAGTATTAGGAATAAGTGCACACTTTTTAATGTAAAGAATACGAAAAACATCTGGCATTTGCATTTCTTGCACATAGCAAAGCAAAACTAAATGGTGTTATGCAATGGATTAGGACATGTAAAAGAGAAGTGAATCTAGGCAGGCGAGTCACATCATTCTCTGCAGCAGCATCCTAAGTTGGTGAGACAGCATCAGCAGGGGCTCCTTTCCCTGAGTACAGCACCCTGAGAGGCCTTTCCTGTTTCCTCTGCATATCCATAGGGTCCTTCAGAGATACAACAAATGTATGGAGTTGGATTTACTCCTGGACCAAACTAGGTGAAAAGCAGGTGCTCCCCAATGACTGTCTCTGAAAGAAATGGAAAGAAGAAAACTCTTGCTGAGAGGCCAGTGCACTGCATACCCAGGCAGGCTGCATAACAAAAGGGCAGAACACTGCACCAATCGAGTCACATAGAAGACTGTTGTGGGATCCAGTGGCCCAGTGGAATTCCCATTAAAGTCAATGAGAGTCTTTCCATTAATTTTAGTGAGAGTTGAATCAGGAGCGCAGGGATAGATTTTGTGTGTGTGTGAACTTAAGCACAAAGATCAGAACAGGTACCCCAACACATCTCACTTAAACAAGTAACTCTCCCTGTGGATGCATGGTACAAATGTAGCCGCTAAACGGCACCCCCAGTCAAACAGTTCTTCATCAGATCAGTCTTTAAACTCACAACTCGCCACTGTTGCTAATATTGAGAATCTGTGCCAATCAAACTTACCAAACTCACTAACATAAAGGGCCTGATTCTCGTCTCATTTATACCAGTGCAAATTAGGGTAACGGCACTGAAATCAATACAGTTATACACTAATGGGTGGAGAACCAGATGTTTTGTCTTCCTCTTTTATTAGGCAGTGATGAAAGATGGAAAGACAAATAATTCTATAAATTCTTTTACTTAACAGCCAAGCAAAGGGGGAAGCCTAAATATTGTACTAAATTGTTACAGCTCATATTCTGTTCATCTGTCTTAATTTATGTGTTGTTTACACATACTGGCCATACCAATTCCCACATCGGCTCACATCTTTGTCTCTGCTACACACCAAAATGTAACTGAAGCCCCTAGATTCTTTTTTGTCTACTCTAATTTGATGTCAAAACTACTAAAATTCCAATGTGATTTCCATCTCAATCTCTCTTCTAACCCAACCAACGTAGCTAAAACATCCCAAATAGCACACCAATTCCCACTGTAAAGAGCCCTCAAACCAAGGTCCTTTCTGCCCATCACTAGTGTCTTTGAGAGTCTTATTTATATGAAGATATGTACCTGCTGCTGACAATGGGTGTCTGCAATGGATGCAGCTGAACTGGAGCTGAAAACGAGTTAACTGCAAGCATAGCCGGGCCAAACTATATTCAGCATTGTTTCAGGAACAACTGTTGAGCTCTGTTCTGAATCTCTCCCACCATAGCCAATTTGCAGCCTTAGGCATTAGGTGGAAGATTCCTTGTCCAGCAAAGCAGAAATTTGACTTACAACCTGGATGTGCAATGCTTTCTAGTGTCTGGTCCATAATGAATTTAGTTATGGCTGCTTGAAGACTCTTTGCAGATTTCCTTTAGTGGAGAACAGCATTTCATAGTATAGTCACATGGCACATCCATTCCAGTCAAACATTTGAGAGTTATAGAAGTATAAACTAAGCCATAAATAGACCTTGCTGCAAACCAAGGCTTGAAATACGTTTTCACATACACTATTATTTAAAATCTGTGCAAGTTCCATTTATCCTGCCCATTGTGCTTCATTTCAGAATCTTGTGTTATGCTTTAAAAACAATGTGACTACATACTCTTCTATCTGTGCACTGAAGTTTACCCAAAAATATATGAATGAAGGAGCATTATGTAGGATTTGGGGAGCATTCTGCTAGACTCCCTGGAATTTATCATCTTTGATCCCTGTTGTCAATTGATTCTGTCTACTCCGATCCTAAAAAGGAAACATGCAAAAAATTTTTAAGCCTGCCCAAAACAAGTTTGTTAAAGTTCGTAAGTTCCTTATCTAATCTATCTAAACACATATACACAGTCACTGGAAAAATCTTGTTTTAGCTACCCAACCAAAGGCCCTGCAAAAATTGATCAGGTAGAAAAAGTGGGTTTTAAATTTTTTACTCTACGGTAGATCAAATAAAATTGTGTTGATCTATTGGGAATAATTTAAAGCGGTTGTTTAAGACATGGGGAGGTGGCCTTTAGTTCAGGTTTCAGAAATAACCATATATTCACCAGTTGGCTACTTGCCTGGTATAAGAATAGAACAGAATAGAATAGAAAGCGCTCACCAGTGTAAATAAGGCAAATAGCAATGCAGTTATTCCAGGCTGATATCAGTTTGACACAGAAGAATCTGGCCCTACCATTGTTTTGGACACAAGTAATTTCATTGTATGCTCTCCTAAGCTTCAGGGGGCCTTCCAGAAGGCCAGTCTACACATAAGACCTCCAGAATCTCTCTTCCCTTCGATATTACTTTTCTTTCTCTTCAAGACTAACTGTGAAATAGGCTCCCCTGGCCTGTATAACAAGTAACTCAAGTCCACTCCTGAGCTTAGGTCACTGAGCCAGCTAATATCACCCATGGGACCAGATCCTCAGATGGTGTAAATTAGCATAGCTCCATCAAAGTCAGTAGAACTATGCTGATTTACACCAAGCCAGCATCTGGCCCACCCTTTTTTTTTTCCTGGGAGATTTTCATCCTTTCCTGGTTCTCCCTATGATGATGATGACTACGCAAAGGCCCACAGTGCGCAAGGTGCTGTCCACACATAGGAATGCATGGGCCAGGCGCTTAAGAGTTTATGCAACAAGGCTGGCAATTTATTTTATTTTTTCAAATGAACTTGCTTTCCCAGATTTAGCTGCAAACGGTTTGATTGGCTTATGAGACATCACTTTTGGTGTCTGAAAAAGGAAATGAGACAGGTTCAGCACAGGCTGGAATGAGGTGTAAATCAGTGCTGAGGATTTGGCCCAATAGATCTCAGAACAGGCCAACTCAATACATAGTTGCACACACACACACACACACACACACACACACACACACACACACTACT